TCCTTTTAATGAGTATTGTGCACAACATGACATAATTCATGAAGTTACTCCTCGGTACTCTCCCCGAATCTAATGGCATTGCAGAAAGGAAAAATAGAACACTATGAAACAAAGGGTTTGGGGAGCGGAGTGCATAGAGATGAGGAGGAAAGATGAGGGGAGGGGAAGAAGGCATGGGAATATGTGTGTCGGTAGCAATGGCGCTGGCACTGTGGTAGGGGGGTCGGTGGAGTCGGATTGTGGCATCGTTAGCATTGGTGGGGTAAGGCATCAGGGAGTGACATGAGAAAGAAGAAACTGAGATGAGAATAAAGAGGGAGGAGAGAGGGAGAGAGAGAGCCACTACACTGCGTTTGCCATGGGTTGGGTATGGTGGGGTAAGGGTTAAGGGGTAAGGGGGTTGGTGATGGTTTTTGGAGGAAAAATATGTATGGATACATCTCACATATTTTATTATATATGTATATATAGAGAGAGAGAGAAAGAAAAAAATCCAAATTTGAAAAAAATTAAATTCAAAGATAAATAACGGCTGAGATCATTTTGTAAAAAAATAAGGTATTATTCGACAGACAACACTAGCATAATCTGTCTCAAATAATTGACGTTTCAGATCAATTCGATCTGATGCATGAATTAACTCTTGAATTTTTTTTACCACCCAAAACTTAATTTTTGAAATTNTTAGACACGATAATGATACCGAAAATTATGATCAAGCTTCAAAAAATTGGAATCTTGCCGATAAATTATGCTTGAGTATCATTCGTAATGTTTTGTCTAATGATCTATTTGATGTGTATAGTCACATTGAGAATGCTAAATTTTTATGGAATGAGTTGATATCAAAATATGAATTTGAGGATGAAGGTACTAAGAATTTTTTGGCCATTAATTTCCTTCATTACCAAATGGTCGAGGACAAAACCGTTACATCACAAATTTATGAGTTTCAAAATATAATAAATGGGTTGGCCAAAAAAGGTGATGTATTACCCGAGAGATTCAAGACTCAATGTCTTGTAAAAAAATTACCCGAGTCTTGGAGAGAGTATAAACTCAAATTTCAACAAAAGAGAATTGTTATGACATTTCAAGAGACCATTGTCCAAATTAAAATTGAGGAGAAAAATATACTTTTACAAAAGTCCACCCAAGCCGAGGAAATGGTGTCCAAGGCTAATGTGGTAGATGGTGGACCAACTAGAATCCCACAACACCAACAAAATAGGAAACATGGCCAAAAATCGAATTGGAGACCTCATAACCATAATAATAAAAATAAGTCTCAAGTATCTAATCCTCAAATTCAAAAGAGAAAAGGGGAATATTATGTTTGTGGTAAAGTAGGACATTATTCCTCAATGTGTAAATATCAAAAGGGTGATAACAACAACTACAACAACAAGCCTAAACCAAAGGCTAATGTGGTGGAAACCAATAATGTCATTGTGGCAATAGTGTGTGAGATAAACTTGGTCACGGGAGCAAAAGGTTGGGTAGTAGACTCTAGGGCCACTAGGCACATTTGTGCCAATAAAGATGCATTTGCATCATATAATAGTGTCAAGAAATGTGCCGAATGTGTATATGTGGGTGATAATAAATCAGTACCGATTATGGGAAAAGGGAATGTACTCCTTAAATTGACTTCCGACAAAACTCTTTTATGATAAAGCAAAACCTTGTGGCAATTCAATTACTTGAAAAGGCCGGAGTCAATATCCTCTTTGATGGTGGTATTGTAACTTTGTCTAAAATGACATCTTTGTTGGTAAAAGGTATCTTGACCAAAGTCTTTATGTGGTTAATGTACATGAAATTATTAATAAAAGTGTTTCATCTTCTTGTGCTTAGTTGGTTGACTCTATTGATGTGTGACATGGTAGACGTGGACATGTGAACTTTGGATACTTTAGGCAAATGAAAGAAATGAGATTGATTCCTAATGTGTGTGAAACTAATATAGACAAATGTAAAATATGTGCCGAAACTAAGTCTACTAAGAAACCATATAAATCCATTTCTAGAGAGAGTGAACCTTTACAAATAGTTCATAGTGATATTTGTTGATGATCATTCAAGGTTCACGAAACTTTATTTGTTGAGAACTAAAGATGAAGCACTTGAGATGTTTATAAAGTACAAGACCGAAATTGAAAATCAAAGCAATAGATGGATTAAAAGATTAAGAACTAATAGAGACGGTGAATATGAATCTAATCCTTTTAATGAGTATTGTGCACAACATGACATAATTCATGAAGTTACTCCTCGGTACTCTCCCCGAATCTAATGGCATTGCAGAAAGGAAAAATAGAACACTATGAAACAAAGGGTTTGGGGAGCGGAGTGCATAGAGATGAGGAGGAAAGATGAGGGGAGGGGAAGAAGGCATGGGAATATGTGTGTCGGTAGCAATGGCGCTGGCACTGTGGTAGGGGGGTCGGTGGAGTCGGATTGTGGCATCGTTAGCATTGGTGGGGTAAGGCATCAGGGAGTGACATGAGAAAGAAGAAACTGAGATGAGAATAAAGAGGGAGGAGAGAGGGAGAGAGAGAGCCACTACACTGCGTTTGCCATGGGTTGGGTATGGTGGGGTAAGGGTTAAGGGGTAAGGGGGTTGGTGATGGTTTTTGGAGGAAAAATATGTATGGATACATCTCACATATTTTATTATATATGTATATATAGAGAGAGAGAGAAAGAAAAAAATCCAAATTTGAAAAAAATTAAATTCAAAGATAAATAACGGCTGAGATCATTTTGTAAAAAAATAAGGTATTATTCGACAGACAACACTAGCATAATCTGTCTCAAATAATTGACGTTTCAGATCAATTCGATCTGATGCATGAATTAACTCTTGAATTTTTTTTACCACCCAAAACTTAATTTTTGAAATTGATTTTCCAAAAGTCATTCTCCAAATAATTATCTCCCCCAATTTCTTTCCCTAATATTACGTCCCTCCCAATTGGTCAATGTCATTACTAGGGATCTTCACCCTACCCGACAGTTAAGAATGATGATATTTTATCTTTCTATCCGATACTTTACGGAAGACAAATATCTTGGCCAACCCTACCCGATCAAAGGTAATATTCCTACCAAATTTTGTCCAAAACAATTGGTTTGGAATTTGGGTAAGATTGCGGAAGAAGAATCAACAACACAGCAGCAAAAAAAGGAACAAAAACAGCAATATAAGAATCAGCAACAAAGCAGAATCAGCAACAAACAGAAACAGCAACAAAAAAAAGAACAAGAAATCAGAAGCAGCAACAAAACAAACAGCAATATAGAATAAGAAAACAAAGCAGCAACAAATGCACCAAAAAAAAACATTAACAGAAACAGAAATCAGAAGAAAATTTGATCATAACAAAGCAGCAACAAAAAAATCAGAATCAGAAACAAAGCAGCCAAAAAAAAAAAAAATAGTTCTTCTAATTAATTGCAGTAGTTAATTAGAAGCATGCAAACAATCAGAGTCGGAGTGAATTTTAAGAGGCATGCCTATGATTTTCATTCCCAATATAGTTCTTCTAAATGCATGCAAACAATATAGTTCTTTGTAACTTTATTTATAAAAATTTTTCAAAGTTGATGGCTTCAAGACTGCAATGTCTCCTACCAAAGCAAATTTCGAAGNTCATTCCCAATATAGTTCTTCTAAATGCATGCAAACAATATAGTTCTTTGTAACTTTATTTATAAAAAATTTTCAAAGTTGATGGCTTCAAGACTGCAATGTCTCCTACCAAAGCAAATTTCGAAGGAGCAGCATGCATTTGTATGTGGAAGAAACATAGCTGATTGCATTTCAACTGTAAATATTATGGTTTTGTTAGTTGTCATTTGAGTCGTCTGTGTTCTTCTTCTGCAGTTCTGAGAGTAGGTAGAACTGTAATTTAAATCATGGTAGGATTCGTGTTGTTCAGCAAAAACATAACGCCGGGATTGTTTGAAAATTCCCCGTACACTCAAACAAGGCGGGCTTCTGAAAAGACAAATTAACCGTCAATAACTCCCACCCCCACTACGCTAGTTGTTAGCAATCGTACAATTCTATAATGAGAGCAAAGTCAAAAAGCATAATATAATGTGCTGATTTATAAACTAGCTATAGTTTTTCCCAATAGAAGTGCAANTTAACCGTCAATAACTCCCACCCCCACTACGCTAGTTGTTAGCAATCGTACAATTCTATAATGAGAGCAAAGTCAAAAAACATAATATAATGTGCTGATTTATAAACTAGCTATAGTTTTTCCCAATAGAAGTGCAAGCCGTGTTGTCTTTCCTTCATTTTTTTTCCCGTTCATTTTTCTTTCCCATTTTCCCATTCTTTCACCACACCACTAGAAAGTTAGAGAATGAAATCAAGTTGTAACGTTATTAAAGCTGAATTTTTCCCCAAAAAAAAAAAATTACAATAACTGATTATTAGTTATTGGACATGTGTAAAATTGATTATAAATGACATATGATAAAATATGATTTCAAAAAAAATATATATATTTTTAATGTAATAATTCAAAATTCTATGTAGTTCCCATTCCCAATTGAATTGATGTACAAACGGATTGGAATGAAAAAAGTATCAAGAAAGTTACAATAAGTTTGTGTTTGTTTTTTTGAAAAAGAATTAAAATGAAAGGAAAATTACTGTTGTAGAGCCTGTAAAGTTTGCTTGTTTTTATCATCCTTCGCCATGAGAGAGAGAGAGACTTGTCTCTCAGTAATTTTTCCTCCACTTAAAATCCAATTGAAACACCAGATTTCATCAATAACTCGTTTCAGTTTACTGTACAGATCAATGTAATCGCCCATGGTTGGATCAAACCCAAGGGAATCCCAGTTCACATACATAATAATTAAATGTTGGCAAATTCTTAATCGGCAACTGGCTTTCTGTATGTAACTTGCCCCTACAAAAGAAGTATCTAGAACAGGGAGGCGCCCTTCTTTAATCCCATCCTGGAAACGCCTCAGCCTCACTTCTTTGCCTTAGCAAACCTGAGGCATCGGTACTTCTCCCCACTTACAGTGATTTCAAGAGCGCCATCTTGGTTATCCTGATTTGATGCAGTTCCCATCAGCACACTTTTCTCCTTCTCAAGGTTCTCTCTCTCCATCTTCAGCCTTGCTTCTTGGCGTGCAATCTCTGCCTGAACAATGCTAGGTTTAAATAGGGAATCAAACTAGAAAACAAAAAATAAAAAAATAAAAGTATTCCTACATCACCAACTGCTTCAAGATGGAAAGAATTGTTCAGATACAGCATACAGTTGCAAAGAAAGTTCATGTATATGGTTTTCAATCAACATTAACAAAAATCCAATGCATATTTTTCAGTGGTAGTGATTTATACGTTGGCCACAAGTTCTGCACAAGCCACTATCATCTAGCTGCAGTGCGGCTCTCCAGGCAACTCGTGTCTAAAAGGTGTGCTGAGCAAATAATATGTAAAACCACCACCAAAATAAAGACAAAGCATAGCGACATAGCACAAGAAAATGATCAATCCACATACGGCCACACATCCGCGCATGAAAGATTGGAAAGTTCAAGCACCACCTGGAGTCCCTATGTTTACACCCCTACATATAGCAGACATTTTTAGCTCAATTAGTGAAACCATCAGGACTGTCCAGGTGCATTATATGCATGCATTTCTGCATATATCCAGGACTTCGTCATCTCAACACTTTAAGCTCTTCCTATCTGGTTCTTCCACCTTGGAGATTTTATCGAGCAGATTGAAATAAGATTAATAAAAACTGATGCCTCAAAGTAACATGATCTCTTCTTTCAAAAACTAGCTAAGCAGGTCGAACGAGTTTTATGGACAAAAGGTCAGCAACATATGCTACATGGACTATCAGTAAACTTGAACAATATGAATCCTAAGGTTGCATAATTTCTAGAATGGCCATTTCATTCCTTCAATCCATTTAGAGTATTACGTTAATTTCCAGGCCTTACTAAAATTCCAGCGGTACAAAGCAGGACTAGGTTGATAATCCCTCTTCAAAGAAAACTGTATCAAATATGTATTGGCATGGCACGTGACCTGTGCGATGCACACAATTCACACCAGCTATATCACCCTGGCATCCCTGCCACATCACCCCCACTCAAGGCAGCTCCACCCCACATCATATTGTGAGAAATCTACCGGTTAGTGGACTGAATAACTTTTGACATGGATAGTCGTAGGAAGACAAGAAGAGAGAAGATAAGAAATGATGTTAACACAAAAATAAAATGAGTGGTTACATGGGCAACGCGGGAGTTTGACTGGAGCAAACCATTTTTTTTTTACAATTCAAGAACTCAAAAATCTATTAATTAAGCAAATGGAGAGGGAAGGCTTCCCAAGCCCTCTCACTCAAATTTTGATACTTTCCTACGTTGATAGGTGAATAGAGATGTATATGCATGCATGTATATATGGTCATTGCTTTCTCAGTCAACCGCCCTTAAGATTTCAGCCTATAGTCCATCAGCCCTTTCAATCATTCAAAATGAGTGTAAAGCAGGTCAATTTTATACATTTAAGCAGGGCAATAAAAAGAAAGTTTCACTGATGTAACCCTCTCTCAATGTCAGCCCGACACTCAACAATGTACTGACAATTTCGGCTCTTTTAGTGAAGCAACTGGTGTTGCAGTTGATATTTCTTGCTTGAAGCATTAGCTGAACCACTTTGGACTAGTAAATTTCCAATAAAAGATACAGGATATAGCAGTAATAATGCCAGAAGCTCCTTATTTTTTATCCTGAGTAAAGCGAGCCATCTACATATCCCACTAGTATTAGTCAGCTCAGAGCTGAATGAAAACAACTAGGTCTAGTACAGTCGGTGAGTCTGAAACAGAACATGAATTTGGCAAAGCACAGGTACTTTCATGGTGACTCATCTATTGTCATAGCAAGCACAAGTCTAGGGCAGTATCCCAGTGAACCGCAAAGTGCCAACTGATGTGCCTTTTACAACTACAATTCTGATTCTGTGTAAATACATTGTGGATCATCTAAAAGACTCGTGGCATGTTTTCACCAAATACCCTCTCATGGATCCTATCACAAGGGTAAATTTCCAATGTAATGTAGTGAACGAAAATGTGAAAGATTAAGAGGCAAAGACAGAGAAAACTTAATCAACATAAGAGGTGCAAGATATGTACAAAAGGAAATTAAATCTGATTATCATAAAAAATAACTCCAGAGAGGTTAGATTTTGAATAAAATGACTTGGCTCCACAGTTGACTCCTCTAGTAATTATTCGATAGGAGAATACATATCTAATGCTTCAGAAGTTCAGATATATGTGTTTGCATTAGGAGACACGACAATATTGGCATCAACTCTGAGGCCAATGGAAGTGGACTACTTCATGAGTCAAAAATGTCGAAAGCATGAAATCCTAAAATTTTCAAGAACCTCACCTTCCGGGAAAAAAAAATTCAAAAACCCTTAACACTTACAAATAATGGGGTGTGTTAAGTTGAGAGAATTAACAAAATATTATAGAAACATGGAGGTCAAAACTTAACCAACCTCTCACAAACCACTTGTATGTATAGTTAATTTGTAATCATTCAAAAGACGTATATACCCTCTAGTATTTACATAATACCCTAATACTCTTAACACTCCCCTTCAAGTTGGACTATATATATCATATAATCCAAGCTTGGAACACATGGCTCTAAGACGTGGACGACTCAATGCTTTGATAAATATATCCGCAAGTTGATCTTCAGATCTCACAAATAAAGTCGTAATATCTCCAGCTACTATCTTATCTCGAATAAAATGACAATCAACCTCAATATGTTTGGTTCTTTCGTGAAATATTGGATTATTAGCGATAGGAATAGTTATCTGGTGGTCACATAACAACTGTAAAGGAACTTGAACTAAAAAGTCAACTTCCTAGAGAAAGTGTAGTAGTCACGTCAACTCACTCGTTGTATGTGTCATCGTTCTATACTTAGCCTCAGCACTAGATCTCGCTACCACAGGTTGTTTTTTACTCTTCCATGAGACAACGTTAACTCCTAGGAAAGTACAATAACCAGTAGTTGATCTCCGATCAGAAAGAGAGACAATCCAATCAACATCTGAAAAACCTTCCACTCTAAGACGTTCATTAGCTCGATATAATAGCTCAAGGCCAGGAGTACGTTTGAAATATCGCAGAATACAAGTGATTAGCTTCCAATATGATACTCTAGGGCATCTCATAAACTGACTTACTATATTGACTGCATAGAAAATATCTGGTCGAGTAATAGTGAGATAATTAAACTTCCCAATCACCAACCCGAATTCTCAAATAGTGCACCATCATCCATTAATAATTTCTGATTCGGATCCATAGAAATATCAATTGGTCTGTCACCTAATAAACCTGTTTCCTCTAACATGTCAAGTACATATTTCCTCTAGTATGAAATCAGTTTTGCAAAAAGGTTTTTAACTTGGCAATCCCCACAGAACCATTTTCGATAATCACAATATTATCTACATAAACCACCAATAGAACATATCCACCATCCGTTTGTCTATGAAATACAAAGTAATTTGTCTGACATCGAAGAAAATCAAACTCTAAAACTGCATTTGAAAACTTATCAAACCATACTCTCGGTGACTATTTCAGACCATACAAATATTTCTTTAACCGATATACATGCTTACAAAACTCCCCCTGTGCAGTAAACTTAGGTGGCTGCTCCATGTAGACCTCTTCAACTAAGTCACCATGTAAGAAAATATTCTTTACATATAACTGAAATAAAAGTTAATCAAGATTAACAACCAAAGAAATCAATATACGAACATAAAAGATTTTGGCGACAGAAGAAAGTCTCCTCATAATCAACACCATAGGTCTGAGTAAAGCCCTTAGCAACAAAACGGGCTTTGAGACGCTCTACATAACCATCCAAATTAAATTTAACAATATATACCCAACGACAACCAACAGTTCATTTACCAAGAGGTAAAGGAACAAGATCTCAAGTCTTATTGCGATGTAAAGCATCCATCTCCACCTCTATAGCTTTCTTCCAAATCGGATCAGACAACGCATCCTGTAAGTGCTTAGGGATAAAGATACTGGATAATTGAGAGGTAAAACAAGAGAAGACAAAAAACAAGGTATTATATANACGATGTAAAGCATCCATCTCCACCTCTATAGCTTTCTTCCAAATCGGATCAGACAACGCATCCTGTAAGTGCTTAGGGATATAGATACTGGATAATTGAGAGGTAAAACAAGAGAAGACAAAAAACAAGGTATTATATAAAACAAAATGAGCAATGGGATAGTTAATAACACAAGAGCGAATACCTTTTCGAAGAGCAACAGCTAAAGAGTCTAAATTATCTAATGGACCTGAATCAGGAGACGACAAGGAAAATGTTACGGGCACCTTAGTCGATGGTCGAGGATGACAAGAGTATACACGAAGTGGAGAAGTAGAAGATAGCATAGTAGGCAGCAGAATATTTGACGATAAGGGAAGAGGCGGTGGTATAAGAGACGACCCAAAATTCATATCCAAAGGCTAACAGAACAGATTCATCAAAAGTGACATCAGCACTAGTGAAGTACCAATGAAAGAAAGGACTATAGCAACGATACCCCTTTTGTGTGCGTGAATATCCAAGAAAGACACATTTAGTAGCCCGACGGTCAAGTTTATCAAACTCAGGACCCAAGTTGTGAACATAATTGACACACCCAAAAAGCCTTAGGAGTTAAGGAAAATAAAAAATTATCAAGGAAAAAGCCAGAATATGGACTTTGCTCATTTGACACAAAAGATGGCATACAATTAATAAGATGACTAGCAGTGAGAACAACATCCCTTCAAAAATAATAGGAAACATTCATTTGGAATAACAGTGCACGAGTGACTTCCAACAAATGACGGTTCTTGCGCTCAGTAACACCATTCTGTGAAGAGGTGTAAGCACATAAAGTCTGATGAATAATGTCAATTTTACAAAGATAAGCTAAAAAGAGATCAGATTCATATTTTCGAGCATTATCAAAATATAAAATACGAATACGACAATCATATTGGATTTTTATTTCCTTACAAAATGTCTCAAATATAAAGAATAATTAAAAAATGAGCTTTCATAAAAAACAACCAGGTCACACGAGAATAACCATCCACAAATATTACAAAATAAGGATATTTCATCCGGACCCCATACATCAAAATGTACTAACTCAAATAGATTAAACACACGATTATTAACTCTAGACTGAAAGGACACATGGTGACGCTTACTAAGTTGACAAGCTTTACAAGACACAAACGACACATAACTAAAACTTAAGACTTGGCGCTGCAGNTAAAATGTACTAACTCAAA